TTTTTTTAACGGTGATCAGGGCAGTGGTGGCACATGCCTTTAATCCCAGCACTCAAGAGGCAGAGGCAGGTGGATTTCTGTGAGTTCGAGGGCAGCCTGGTTTACAGAGCTAGTTCCAGGACAAGCTCCAAAGCAATACAGAGAAACCCTGTCTTGAAAAGCCAAGGGGAAAAAAAGAATATTGTAGGTTGCCCTGGCCTCCATATGCATGTATACACACATACATATGGGCTCACACATCTAGAAGTAGAATCTGTATCTATTCCCCTGCAGTCAGTTACGATTAACAGAACATAGCAGAAATGACCTGTAAAACTCAGAAGGCCAAGCCTTAACAGTGTCTTCCTCCTTACAACATGTCCTCTGGAAAGCCAACTACCATACAAAAGACCCACTGTGCTATGAAGAAATATAAGCCAACCAATAGATTCAACAGCCACAAGGACGACTACTAAAGCCCCAGCCATGTAAGTAAAGCCTTCTAGTACTTTCTAGTCTGGTCATCAAAAAACAAAAAGTGAACCCAATAGAATGTGCACCATGTGTACCAGAAGAACAGTCCAGCCAGGCCCTACCTGAGTTCCCAGGCCATGGATGAGCAAATTACACAGTAGTTCCCAGCCTGTCTTAAGGTAGTTTGTTAGACAGTAACATGGAGCTATATGCAGAGATTACTGGTGATTCTGTACCTTGGGTCAAGACTTCCCCTCTGGACCTCAATTTCCTTATCCATAACACAAGTTGTAGTGAGATATCCACCCCAACCGCACCTCTTGCACTGACCATGCCCATTGGAGGTCATGGGGACAGATGCAGGCAGGCATGACCAGGGGGGGGACTAGGTCTGGGGTCCTGGACCCCAGCTAACTCTCTTACTTCCTGGATGGAGAAAGAGAGCATCCTTGGGATGGGAAACTGCGGCAGTCATCTGTTTCTGGTGTAAGTGATTTCTCCCCAAATAAACATCCAGCAGCCTATCGTTTCTCAGATTCTTATTTACCGTGCTATAGCAAGTCTACACCAGATACCTAAGGTGCTTTTCAGTTCTGATGATCAGAACCATAATCCAGACAGTGTGTGCTAGGAATACAGAAGGAACAACTATTTCAGGAGTAAGTAAGGAGTCAAATGCCTTGGAGGGTGCAGATCAAAGGAGGCAGTGGCTAGAACAATGTGGGGCACAAAAGTGTTCACTGAACACATTATGGTTTAGAAGTAAAATGTTTCCCATAAGCTTGTATATTGAAATCTTCATCCACAGCTGGTGGCGCTATGTTAAGGGGTAGTAGAAATTTCAGGAAGTGGGGCCCTAGCTGGAGAAAGGAAGTAATGAGGACAATGCCTTTGAGAGTTAGACCTGGTCCCTCCCTAGTCTCCATACCACCAACTCTCTCTGCTTCCTTTATGCCATAAGGTGAGTCGCTTCTGCCACATGCTCCCACCATCACGGTGGGCAATAAGGAGCACTCCACCCCCTGGGCAGGCAAGAACACACACCTGAGTGCTACCTTCCTGCTGGCTGCATGCCAGGCATGTGAGCAATGCTGGAAAGCTAGGGTTCCCCTCTGCCACCTCAACCAACATCTAGAACCATGGACTGAAACCTCTGAATCCATGAACTACAATGAACCCATCCTGCTTTAAGTTGTATGAGTCAGGGATTCCATCACAGGGGCCAAAGTCTGACTGGTACAAAACAGTTTTCATAGCCTGATGCTTACAGAGCTCTGAGTTTCGTCTCTAAGTTTTGCACCTAAAAACAGACAACACTAATGTTTCCGTTTCTACACAAAGTCTTTGTGAAAGTCCCACACAAAGCAAGAATCCCCAGCATGCAATAAATATGTAAGCATCAGGAGGATGTAAGAGTCTAAAGTCAAAGCACTAGTCTTAAATGATAACTTCGTCTACTGAGCTGTGAGGCCCCTGACAAAGCAGCAGCCTTCTTGAGGCTAGTTCATACAAAAAGACCTCTGGAGACAAGTCTGGTAGGAAAGTGTTAAGATGTAAACAGAGGCCTTGCAGGTGAAAACACATAGACTGGACTTCATTATATGTACTTGGGGTGGGGTGCATGCAGGATGACAGGATCTTGGGTATTCAGATCCTCTTCCCTCTACTTCCTGGGTGCTGGTGTTGCAGTACCACACCTGGAGCAGTGGTACTGAGGATGTAACCCAGGGAGGGCTCCATGCAAGCTAGGCTAGGCAAGCACTCTACCAACTGAGACACCAGCAAGCATGTGTGTTTCCTAAGTACACAGAGGTTCAGCCAGGGACACACCATCCCACCTCACCCTACATCTTTGTGTCTCTGTGAAACTCTGAAAAAACGAGAGGCATACATCCAGAGAATCACTCCATCCAATGTTGATTCTGAAAAATTGCCAACCTTTGGAAGAGGAAGTCTTGGGCACATTTTCCAAGGTACCTAACAAGGCAACAATGCATTTGCATTTTACAGTCTGTGCTTTTCCAAAACAAGGAGCAAGTGCCCTGTGGTGTTAACCCTGAAATCCCCATGATAACACATTTATAGGGGCAGGCACTGCTCAATACAGAGGTGGGAGCTAGGGGCTGGAGGCACTTACTTGGGTGCACAGGGGAACAGAGAGATGGTCTTCTGTGTCCACCCATGCACAGGCTTGGCTGACACGGTACTTGAATATGCCACAGTCCAGCATCAACAAAGAGCTAGGCGGCTGGACCCAGGCCATAAAGCCAGTGTTTGCCTATGGAAGTTCCACCTGCCAGTGTCCTCTCTCCTCTACTTCACCCTTCTCAATGCTGAACCCCTGGCCCCCTGTGTTACCTGCACTGGGAAAACAACTTAAACCAGCCATGACTCCTCCTCTCATTGACCACCACTATCTGTGAATCCAGAGTTACTATAGAAACCACACTATGCAGCCCCCAGACATTTGCTCAGAAAAGAAACTACATGTTTAGTACTGTTGGGGGGGGGGGAGAGTGGGAATCAGAAAGTTGAAGGGAAGCCTAAAGCCCAATATTTCTTAAGGTCTGGTTGCAGTCATTCATTAGGACACCCAGATACTTGGTTGGTTGAATGGCTGGTCGTTTGGTTGGTTTTCTCTGATAGGACTATAGACCTAAGCAAGTGACTAACTCATGGTAATCCCCCTGTCTCAGTATTCCAACTGCAGGAGATTATACTAAGAATTGGACTTTTCTTGAAATTCATATTACACACATTAGATTATGACACCTAGTTGTGACCAAAGGCAGAGGACTGTGAGAAAAGAATGATGATAATAATAATAATTATAATAATAAACCTTTAAATCTGACTAGTCTTTTTACCCTGGTTCTTTAAAAGACAGCACCCATGGGACTGGAGAGCCCCACCACACTGCTCTTGCTGAGGACCATAGTTCAACTCCCGGAACCTACATCAAGCAGCTCAGAATGTCTGTAGCTCCGGCTCTAGGGAGATCCAGTGTCTCTGGACTCTGGGGAAGGCCTTTGTTCATATGCACAGAACTACACACAGACACATAATTAAAAATAATGAAAATATTTTTTTAAATATTTTCTGAACCAAACAAAACAAAGGCCGATTTCTCAGTGTATGTGTATGCCAGGAAATTCAATCATATCCATAATGAAGCAGCTTACCAAATCCACAGGCCCAGACACACATGAGCCCAAACAGGGAATATCCTGGGCCAACCAGATCTATTCTGAGATAGAGAAGTGAGATAAGATCTTGGCTGACAGCTCCCCTCTGGTCCCAGTCACACTCAGCAACCCAGCTCTGCATTCCAAGGTAGGGTTTGATAACAGCGGGGTGAAGGCCTCTAGTTCTAGCAAATATGGCTGGGAAAAGTTGTTTGGGTGGCCTATGATTCACCAATTCATACATCTACGTGAGAAGAGGGATGCAATTCTAAAGACAGGTGACCTCTGGGCACCTAACCAACACTCCAAGGATGTTCTACAAATTGAAGGAAATTGACACCTGATGGCAGTTCTTGCACAATCTACTAACCTGCGGTCACTGAAGAAGACAGAGTGAAGCAAGTTTGCCTCCCAGTCAAAAGTTCTGTTCTCAAAACCATCCAAACCCAGTCTATAACAGAGTTCACTTAAATTTCACTTGGTACAAGCACACTGTAAATGCTGAGTATCTATCCCCACCACATCTTTCTTTAGGTTATGAGTGGAGGAGTAGGACAGGGGCATCAATGAAAAGGCTGGACCCTTTCCACCGAAAAGCACAGTTCCGGGACCAGCAGTGGCAAACTCGACTGCAGTCCCAGAAGCCAGAACTCCTCACACAGCAAGGTACTCCAGGACCATGGCAATGTTGCCAGCCTCATACACAACCCCTGGTCCAGTGTGTGCGCAAGGTTTCCACCCCACTCCTCCCCTCCCCCAAGGGTGGCTTTGGCCTTGGCCCTGCAAATTCCAGTCGTCTGAACTAAATTCTTCATCAGTAACTGCTGAGATGTAACAGCGCACCACAAAACTGAAAACGGGTTTCACCTGACCACTACGCCGCTGGCACATGCAAGAGTCGTGCGAAAGCAAACATTGGGGAGTGACTTAAGCAACTAGACCCAGTCACTCGGAATAATTTGTTTGTTTTTTATTTATTTATTTATTTATTTATTTATTTATTTATTTATTGTTTTTAACTGGATAGGAAACAGGCGTTCTCCTTTTAAAAGACCTCCCGAAAGCACCTCTTGTGAAAACCCAGCAGGTAAATAATCCCAGCGCTTCCTTAAAAGCTTTCAAAAGAACCAGGCGTCTTGGCTGCGCTGGTCGGGCTTCTCCGGGAAGTAACTCAATCCAGCCTTGGCGGGCAAGGATGAGGTGTCTGCAGGTGGGAGAAGGGGGTGAAGCAGTACACCTCAAACTTTGCAGGTGCTCTTTAGCTGAGAAAGGCCTAACCCACCTGCTCTACGTTCAGGACAACTGGCATCCCATCCACCCAGACCTGCCCCCTCGGGATACTGCCCTCCCGGGGCCCCTCACCTTGGCCTCAAAAGAGATGCCATGCTGGAAGGCGTCCTCGTTGTGCAAAGGGATCCGCAGGTCGTGCCCGTCGTCCACAAGGTTGTACTTGGTTTTGCTGGGCATGGTGACCCGCGGTGGACCCGCGGCTCCAGGAGCGGCTGTGGAGGTGGCGGCGGCAAGAAAGAGCTGGCGAGACCCCGGGGAGAGAACAGTGGGGCCGGGCGAGGCGGCGGCGAGGACCCGGGTCGTGTGGTGGGCAGCCTGGGTGCCAGAAGGTGGCGGGGGGTGGGGGGAAACCCGGAGCGGAGCGAAGGGCCGAGCGGCAAGGGCGGCGCGGATGCGGCTGGTGTGAGCAGCTCGGTGGCCGAGCTCTGGCTACCGGGAGGCGGCCGAGCGGCCGGGAGGCGGGAGAGGGTGGCGCGCAGCTCCAGACCGGGACGCCGAGCGAAGGGCGCACGGCCCGAAGCGAGGTTTAGACCCGGAGCCCGGTCCTGAGCTCGGCGCACACAGCCCGGGACGAGGAAGAAAGGCGGCGGCGGCGACGGTGGTGGTGGAGCAGGGTGCCTGTCACGGAGACGCCGGATCGGCTGCCAGCCCGCGGCTCCTCCTGCGGGGCGGGCCCGAGCCGACTCCTCCCGCGCGCCAGAGCCCCGCCCGCTGCCCGCCGCCGCCGGGTCCGCCCCGCGCCCCGCGCGCGCCCAGCAGGTGAAAGTCCCGCAGAGCCTAGCAGGCACCTGGGAACTTCGCCCCGACCTCACCGAAGGACCGTGGCGACCCAGGCTCAGTCTGCTCAGCTGGTAGCAGAGAAACAGCATCATCTTGCGTTTGTTTGTTCGGTTTGGTTTGGAGAACGGAAGAGAGGCGATGTTTATTGGGGGGTTTTTTTGTTTGTTTTGTTTTCCCAAGGAGGCCCAAGATCTGTCCTAGATACCCTCGGTCTGGGCTGCATTAATTCTGAGATCCCTGCTTCTCATTGGAACCAAAGCGATACTCAAATGGGGGACTGCAAGAAAGGACTGCCTGCAGGGCTTTTTTGTCCCTTTGGGTGTGTGGCTTGCTTTTGGGGTCACAGCAGGGTGTCTTTGGGACGAATTTAAATATTTAAGAGTCCTCGAGCCTTGTAGAACTGAAGTAGGCTGACAAGGAAGCATTGGGAACAAGAGATTTCAGAGTTTCCTTATGCCCTTAATTAAACTTCTGTAACTGAGTGTTGATTAAAAAAAAAAGTTGCCAAAATTCTATGAGATTTCTTAATAATGAATAGTGAAGCAGCCACACTGTGTATCAAAACGTCATAGATAGGGTTGTGTAACAGTTTCCTCTAAGATTGAAATATTCCATCCTACAGGGAGGCTCCCTACACAGGAAGGTAAACAAGTCAAAGTGGCTTCAGGAAGTCCCTGAAACTGACCAGATCCACTACCCCCCACCTCATTCCCATCAACCCCATCCCCCAGTGCCAGAGTAAACAGTAAAAACTGAGCTGCAAAGATGACTCTGAGAGCAGACCAGCTGAGTGGAAGAGGCTTAGAGCAGAGTCTCTTGGGAAGGACACCCTCTAACCTGTTGTTCTGCCTGCAGGCTGTGCTGTGTGCTCTGGGTTCCTAGCTTGGTGAGCTGTCACCCGTGCTGGGCTGGAACGTGGTGAGACAGCTAGCTGTCTTTGAGTCATTTCTCCTCCTGTAAGTAACCTCACCCATATTCCTGTAAGTAACCCTAGTAAAAAGTCATTGGTTCAACCAAGTTGAACTTTGATGGTATCCACACTTTGGTCTGTAGTGAGTTTCCTCTCTGGGGTGAATAGATGTGCTTGTTGTGTCTCCCCAGGAGAAGTGTGTCACACAACATACAGGTACATAGCAGCTGCAATTAACCTCTTCACAGCACCAGACTCCCCAATAGTAACCAGCCCAGCTAGTGTCAAAGCTAAGATCGTTTTTTTCTTGTGCAAACCTGTTGTGATTGCTAACATCGTCAGTGTTAGACTATCCTGATCATGTCTGTGAGGGAGACTCAGGAATGGATAACTGGGATGGGAAGACCCACACTAGAGGTAGGTGGTACTGTTCCAAGGGCTGGGATCCAGAGCTGGATAAAAAGGAGGAAGGGAGCTGAGCGCCAGCACCCATCTCTCTCTGCTTCCTAACTGAGGAGGATGCAGCATGGCCAGCTGCCTCACGCTCCTATTTCCATGCCTTCCCCGCCATGACAGACTATGCCAGAATACTGAAGCAAAGTAAACCCCCTTCCTTAAGTAATGCTTTGTCAGATCACAGCAACAAGTCTGTCTCTTTTGTTTGGTCTTGTCTTAGTTTAGGTTTGGGTTTTATTCTCCCAGTACTAGGGATTAAATCTACCATTGAGTCCACTCTTTACCTTTTGTTTTAAAACAGTCTCACTAAATTGCCCAAGCTTGCCTTGAACCTGCAACCCTCCTGCCTCATCTTCCCCAGTGGCTGGGATTACAGTCCAGCATCACCAGCCCCAGAATAATCATGCCTTTAATTCTCTGTGGTCACATCCACCCAAATCATTCTTCGATTGTTGCTTGTTGCATAAGCTACCTTTGACATCTCCATGAAATACCCCAAAGAAACTGCTCTGTGTCGTCTCCGTGATAAATTTATGCAAGCGAATACATTACTGCCCTGATGATATTTCTTATCTTGTCTCCTAGGGTGAAAAGTACAGCTGCCCTTTGCTATACCCTGCTGTTCCCTGTCTGTACAAATCCCTGTGGTGAGATACTATCTCTCTGGTCTCTCTCCCTAATAAAAAAGCAAGCTACTGACTAGGACAAAGTAATCACATACATTACGCTACACAGACTTTATTATATTCGTAAATATTAGTAAGAGCCAAAAATAATTTGCTGGACTGATGAATTTGCCAGCATTTCATAACTGAGACTGTAACACACACAACACACAAAAGGCAAGAAAGAGGCATCAAAGATCTGTCAGGGTCCAACATAGAGAATACTGCATAGAAGACATCCAGTAATTATTTATGAGGCTGGTGTGTGGCACACTGTTCTTTGCATGTCTTCACATTGCCTCATATGACATGCACTGCAGCCCTAAGGTAGCAGATTGCTTGAAAAAGCTGAAGCAAGGAGAGGCTTCACAACTTGCCAAGGTCACACATACAGAAGAGAGGAGGCAGAACCCCATCTGGGTCAAACCTAATTCAAAAGGTGGACACGTGTGAAATCCAAGGTTTATGTCTTATTTTGATGTTCATTGTGGCTAGCCTATATTCATTCTGTTTCATTGAGATGGAGTGCTCCCAAAAGGAGAGCCTGTTCTGATGTGGCCTCTGCCTTCTATCATGTCAGCGCCAGACTGGCGTGCAGACAGCCTTCTCTCAGAAGACACTAGGCATAAACAGTAATTTCCTGTTTTAATGTTTTTAAAGTAATATCAATCTGTTTTTTAACACCTTTAAATACTACTGAATAATACCACAGAATTTCCAAGTCCATTTATGAAAAAAAAAAAAAAGCTTGATTTCTCTTGTTCTACATGTATGTTTTTTGTTTCAGTTTTTGTTTTTATTTTGAGATGGGCTGTCACTCAGTAGCCCAGATAAGGCGAGCATTCCATACCCCTGCTTCAGTATCCCGAATTGCCGAAATTTCAGACCTATGCCACCAGGCCCATCTTGTTTTAGTTCTTGAAGCAAGTACTTGCCGTGTAACCAAAACTGGCCTCAAACTCATGATTCTCCCACCTCAAGTCTCACCAAATTCTGGGGTTGCAAGTTCCATGTGGATGGCCACGCAGAACTCCCTCGTATTAGTAGCATCTATGTATTTTTCGTGTGAGGTAACTGAATCCAAGTACACGTAAGGCAAGTGCTGCACCCCTGAGCTGCACCTCCAATCAGTGTTCCGTCCCCTAATCATTGCATAGTAAAACTTAACCTGAATTACATTCCATTTAAATAGAAATTGCTTACTCATAAAATACTTCCTATGTTTGGTTATTTTTTAAAGATTTATTCACTTTTACTTTGTGTATGTGAATGTCTTGCCTGAAGGTATGTATGTGTACCACACTGTCCTGGAGCTGGAATTACAGACAGTTGTGAACCGCAATGTGGGTGCTGGGAACCAAACCTGGGTCCTCCAGAAGAGTGGCCATTGTTTTGAACTGTTCGTGTCCCCATTTGACAGATGAGGAAACTGAGGCCAAGAGAAGGAAAAGCAGTAGATCCTGGGAATCCTTGGATGAACAGTAGTTAACAAAAGTGAAAACTGTGTTAGCTTGCTAAATACTAATCTTGGCGGTCAACTTGATAGTATATGGATTCAACCAAACCCTGAACTTCTCTGTACTATTCAATGAGGGATCCTCTGGACCAGATGATTTGAAGCAAGAAGACCCACTTTAAAACTGGGCTGCACCTTCTGACAGCAGCCCAGATAAAAGGACACAGAAGAATGACGCTTTCTGCCTTCTTACCCTCACTCGTGGAGGCCAAGTTCATCTATCCTATTGCCACAGCCTTCTTTCATTGATATTAGAACCAACATCTTCAGAATTCCAACACAAGTTGAAGGCTGGCAACTCTCTAGACCTTCAGCATCAGACTGGGACCAAGTCTTGTAGACTGAACAACTACCAATGCTCATCCTCTAGAGTGTGAGGCAGCCGTTGAGGGACCACTCAGACCACATCTTGAAATCAGAAAATAACTTACTCCAAGCTAAATAAGAGTGATGAAGGCTAGGGAGTGTGAACTGAAGTCACCCCCCAAATGGCACATTGTGCCATGGAAGAGGTGACATGAATTCATAGCCACAGGACAAAAGATCCCATGTCAAAACATACATCAGTCACACCAGTGGAGCTGAATTGTATCTCATGACTCTCCTGGAGATGTGAAAGATATGCCTAGTCACCAAAAAATAGGGAATAGGGAGAAGCTCACAGGTTAAAAGAAAAATTCCTCAGATTCTGTTACGAGTTGTTTTCCTGCCCTCCTGGTCCCAGAGCTGCGCCAGCCCCAAATAACACACAGAGACGCTGTATTAGGTATAAAGCTGTTGGCCTGTTACTAGCATGTCTTATTGGCTATCTCTGTTTTAATATTAACCCATTTCTATTAATCTAAGTATTTCCATATGGTCTTATCTTACCAGAGAGAGGGTATGGAGTTCTTTTCTCTCAGTCCTACATTTTGAATCTCCTCCTACCTCTCTCTGAAATCTCCTTGTCTCCTCGTCCTGCCTGTCTTGCTTTCCTATTGGCCAATAGCGCTTTATCCATTAACCAATAAGAGAA